TCTGGCCTCTCTCTCTCTCTCATGCTTCTGCAAGTATAGTACTCTTGTTTCTGACATTCTGAACTATTTGGTATTATTTCTCTGAAAATTGTTTCATGTCATTATCTTCCTGCCATTGCATTGTAGTAGAAGTTTGAAATAGTAAATGGATAAATCATAGTAAATTATGGATGCATAAAAGTAACATTTATTAAATACTGACTTCATGCTGAGTGCAGTTGGAGTGCTTTATCTAATCTAGTTTAATCTTTAAAATAATCATAACATTATATATTGTATTACTGCCATGTTGTACTTGCCAGCTTCTAACATTGTACATAATTTATTATGTTTCTGATATCAAGTTACCCTCACCCTCTCTAGATGTTTTAGCATCACAAGTGTTTTAATTTCTCAGTTTCATTTACTGTGGTATGTCAGGCATCTAGAACAGTACCTGGAATATAGTAAACATTCAGTTAAGTATTAAATGATTGAATTATTGGATTCTTTGGTCTAGCGATCATAAAGTTCAACAGACTAAATTCTTGAGACAATTTTAAAATGTCAGCTGACATATATTCTTGTAGTAGTATTGTCTTATTATTGTTATTTTAAATTATTAGTTCTACTAATAAATTGCACTGAATGGTTTCTTTATACTCTTCAGTGTTTTCCTGTTTACCTATACCGTGGTAATTTAATTTAGTATAATGGAACTTTACAATCATCTGATTATCTAATTTTTGAAATGGCATAAAAATAACAACTTATTTCCATTTTTCACATGTTTAATGTACTTGGTTTGAGCTCTAACCTGACCTGCCTTATTCTCACATGCTATAGCAGTTTGTGTTTATATATAGCTACTCATTGAATACCTTGCATTTTGCAGATGTCTAAAAATATCTGTTGATTTAATTTCTTGTAACACTTCAGAGTAGTTTTCAGTAACTTGTCAAGGTTTACTGAAAATTTATAAGAAGAAACATTTAAATTAGTCTCATTAAATTTTTAGCCTAGAGTATTATATAAAAAGGCAAATTTTAAAGATTCATAAGAAATTAATATATTTTAAAAGCAAATTTTCCTGTATTTAAAAATTTCTTACTTGCTAAACATTTTGATTTATTTAAAACACTTTCTCTAGCTCTCAAGACCTTAATTTTCTTAGATTAATTATCTTATTTTGCTGACTAAGACGTTTCTAATATTAGATTAATTTTTGAGGTATTCCTTTAGGCTGAAGAAGGAGTTTGGGTATAAAGATTTGTTTATTGTGCTGCTTCACTATCCCTGCTACTTTTCTTCAAGGTGGCCAAGTGAATAGAAGAGAGCAGTAATCCCTCTTCTCCCTTCCCCAGCCTGGGTCAGAAAATCATATCACAGGCCGTTTCCTCAGCACAGTTTTTTTCATGAGTAACCCTCCACCCCAAATCAAATAGGGTTTTTTTCTTCATTTTAAATAAAAATTTAATTAATGCCATCCTCAAAATTTTGATGAAATCATTGCAATTAAGTATTAACATAACATATGAGTAGACTGCTAAGGGCATTAGGCTGTTGGAAATAACACAGCTTGTTTTAGAGTTTTAGATCAAATCCTGGAAATACATTGACTGGTGAATAATTTTTAAAAAGCCGACATGCTTGGGCCGGGGATTTTGCTCAGTGGTGCCGCTGCCTGCCTCGCAAGCATAAGGTCCCGAGTTCAATCCCTGGTACCAAAAAAATAAAAAATAAAAAAAGCATACAACTTATCCCTTAAAGGAAGAATACATTTCTACCAAGCCAATATGTTCAAGTTTATTCTGTGAATCTGACCAGAGCATTATTTTTATATTTTTTGAAACAATTTTGACATCAGGTCTATTCTCTATACTACGTGACATTCTTTAAACATTCATTTTATATTTAACTGTAACTTAAGAATCTGTTATATGATAAATGTTCATTTTATGAATAGTATTGCTCACTGAAGTGCATAAAAATCACTAGATAATTTATTTGAATTAAATCGATTTTCTATTAAGGTAGCTTTTTGAAGATAAAAATATGGTAAGAACCCTGGTGATATCCAGAAATAAGAACAAGAAGCAGTTTTGGTGCTTGAAAATATTTACCTCATTACCTGTCATAGTATTTTATGATTGTGACATGAGCTTTAACAAAATCTAGTTCTTGCAGTTGTGGAAAATTTAGAGGGAAAACTGTCATTGACCTTGAGAATTATGTCTATATTATTATTTAAATATATTCTGTCTCATTATAGTTGTAATAAAATCATAGAATCCATATTATGGAAGTACATTCATGAATTTCTGTAAGAGTCCCAACTATTTAGTTTTGGTATGATTATTTGGCATACTTAGTTCTAGGTTTTAAATTTTCTTTTGGAGTAAAAAGCAAAATGTCAAATTTCATGTAGAAAGTATCATGTTAAAGACAATTCTTACTGTCCCTTAAAATCTACTTATAATCTAATTTTATAGTACAGGTTTATCATTTTCATTGTTAATAATGTTATTAGTCATTACTTCCAATAACAAATACATTCAAAACCGTTTTCCAATTACTTAAAGATACATAGTTGTTAAATGATAGATAACTATTAATTGACATGTTATGGTACATTATAGATTCATAGCTTTTAAGTACAGATACTTTTCAGTTCAGAATTATTTCTGTGCAACAATAGCTTAAAATGATTGTATCTCTCTTACATGCTATGAAATGATCCAGAGTTATTAGAGAGGTCTGACCATTAACCTGCTCCAGTTAAGAAGAAAAAAAAACTGTTAATGAACCAAAAGTAGAAAAAAGGATTTTTGGACCAGTATTATTTTCAGTATTGTCTCCTTTAATACCACTTTTCTATTTATTCCTGGATGTCTGTATTTGTGTGTGTGTGTGTGTGTGTACATATAGTGCACGTATTTGCGTGTAATCAGTCAGTACTTTGCAAACAGTCTCATGCTGTGTACATTGGTAAGTGATTGTCGCTGACAGGATTGTTTGGAAAGTCAGTGATAATACGTGGCATTTTACCAAGTGATTAATTTATTTTGGCTCGAATCACTAGTTTAGTAACACAGAGTAGTTACTCATGTTCAAAAATGCATGATCAGTAAATACTTTTGGGATTTATCTCTTTTTTAGACTTGAACTATTCTACTCATTTAATAAAATGGATGGATTATTTTCAGTAAACACAAAAATGAAAACCTTTTAAGAAGTCTTATAGACTTAATCTTTTTAGAGCAAATTAAGTCCTCTAAAAGGACGTCTTAGTTTGTTCTATTTGCCAGTATTGTACTATTATAAATTTATCATTTTGCTTTCACCTCGCTTTTTAAAAGATGATACATACTCCATCAACTTAGATCACTTTAATTTGATTTATACTGTTGTGTTAAAAATATGTACAAATTAAGTTTTACATGTATTGAAAATTTCCGTTTTTAAAAAATTAATCACTTACTATACATACCAAATACACCAACATTATATATTGCTAGCTCTGACCTCAAGATAGGATGAAATGAATTGCTTCTGTATGGTATAATTATTCAATTTTAAAACCTGGTAAAAGTGCATCATCTTTAGCATTGTTTCACATACTTCAGTCAGCAGCATTGATTCAGTTTGAAATTCATTTTTGGCCCAGCATGTAGCATAGTGCTAGAGTGCAAAGTCCTGGGTTCAGTCCCCAGCCCCAAACAACAACAGCAAAACAAATAACAATAAAAACTGTGCGCCATGCATTTTTGCCAGGTTTCCATGATGATATATACATAAGAAAGACAATGATTTATTCCTCAGGCCACTCAGAAATAGAGATGGAAAAGGTAATAGGAAAAGTAAACTTTTATTATTTAGCCTTTATTCTATCTATACAATTATAGGCACTTCATATCATTTTCATTATTTCTCATAAAATTCCATAATGTACTTATTATTATTCTCATTTTATAGAAGGGAAAACAGTCTCAGGTATGAGAAGTTGCCCAGGTTCTTAAATCCAGTAAGTGAGAGCTGTGATATAGACCTTTCACACTCCAGACTCCATGTGTGTTTGTACTACTGGAAACCTTCAGCGTGTCAGCATACTGAGGTTATATAAATGGGTTATGTGTGGTTTCTGTTTTCAGAACTCATAGTTCTGTGAGAGCAGCTCAAGCTCCAAAAAGACCAGACTATCATTTTAAGCTGTATTCATTTAAACCTGTGTTATCATATTTTTTGGTCAAAACCATTCCATGATAAAATAAAAAAATGATTAAGACACATTTTGAACAGGAATCCATTGATTCATTTGACATTACTTTTTAATTTTAATTTGTTTTAATTTCAGTCTGCAAGAGGATTTTGTCAAAAAATTTTACAGTTTAGCTGGTATACATTGCTGTTATTAATTACCTTAAATTGCTCCCTGAGGAAAACTGTGTTTCTCTGTACAAGCCTTCTCAATTAGTTTTGTCCATTAAATAGTCAAATAGAACACTAGTGCAGTCTGTGAATTTTTTTAAGTGAAGCTACTTTATTTTAATTCAACTAAAATTTAAATTTCTAGGATAAAAATCAGTCAGAATTAATTTCAGAATAAATATGAACGTCTTGTGTTAATTCCCAAGTCTTTAAGTACTGAGAGAGCTGAGGCCTGGTGAAGGAGGATCCAGTGTCCTGGATAAACTGCTTGGAAGGCAGCAGTGCTTTTGTGCAGACTCTTCTGCAGAGGCATGTGCTGGGCAGCTATCTGCAGCCTGTGACCTTTGCTGCTGCATGTTGCTGTTTCTTTTAATGAGTTAGAGTCTGTGCTGGACCTTCATAATCTAACTAATTAGCTCTTGTTTACTGAGCACCTGCTCTTTGCTTGGTTTGAGAAATTTCTTATGTACATTTGTATACATCATCTATATGCATAATTATATGGGAATCTCATGGCAATATTTTTAGTATAGGTAAAAATTTAATATTATGAAACATGAAAAATTAACATATTTGGCACTTACAAATTTCAGTTTATTGATGGTCGGCTGGCAAAACTAAATGCAGGAAGGGGTTTCTCTGATATATTTGAAGAAGAGATCACATCAGGTGGCTTTTGTGGAGGTATGAAATATTTACAGTATGATTATCCATCTTCTAAATAGCAATTGTCTTGATTTTTGCACTTGTGTCTGATGTAATCTATTTCATGTACAGTAATTTCCTCCTAAATATATGTCTTAAATATATTATCTTATAAAAGCTATGGTATCAACTTATTTTGCTTGGTGTTTTTATTCTAAGCATTGTGATTGTCTCATAAATTGGTAGCTGTTGGCTCAGATGATCTCTTAATATTATTGAAAATAACTCAGATCCACTCAGTTTACAGGCTTTAACCTTTCCTCCTGAATAGTAATAATCTCTGCCAAAAAATGACTTAATGATAATAGCCATAACTGAGTATGAATTTAGAAACTGAGATTACAGTTGAAGTAGTACATTGTAATATAATCCAGAAAATATTTGAACATTCCTACTCACCTGCATTTTTAAGTAAATGCATTCTTAAATGTGGCAATTTTTACCTTTGTTACTTTGCTGACCACTGCAGCTTTAGGAAAGTTTTAAATTTACCATTCCACAAATATAATTAATTTTTCAAACACAAATATTCAGTGTTACAATTAACTAGGCAATTAATGATCTACAAAACTATATTTTGTACACTGTTATTCTTGTATGTAATCTCAACTTGCAGAGAATTTTGCTTGAATCCTTGCAGTGTTCTGTCCATTCATTCAACCAGTATTGCTGGGTCCTTACTATATACTGTTCTTAAGATACGAGGTAAACTAAAGAAATAAAAATCCCTTTGGCTTGTTAATTTTTAACCTAGTGGTGGTACATGCCTATAATCTCAGCACTTGGGAGGCTGAGGCAGGAAATCCCTGCAAATTTTAATCCCTCTGGGCTACATAGTGAGACCCTGACTCAAAAAGAAAGAAAGAGAAAATTTTTCATCTATACATGTATAAATAGTTCCTAGAATTCAGAATAAAACATGAGAAGACAAAAAGGAATAGTAGTCATCTATAAATTTCACAAATTTAATTTTATTCTTAAATAGGAATTATCTTCACACCATAAAAATATAGAAAATATATAGAGATCATTTGTTCATTGAAAGAAATACAAATGAACTTGGCAGTTGTAGACTTTCATTTGATATAAGTACATTTCATTGAAAGCATTTAGTTTAGAGAAAAAGTTAGTTTACTTGGATCAGCAAGTAAGCTGAATGTTGAATCATTTAGTTCCTTGCTTTCCTCAGCTTGTGGATAAAGATTTACCTTCAAATGGAACTTTTGTGTTAAAATAATGCTTTTTTACTTTTCAACTCAGACAAGCAAAATATTGTCAGCTTATGGACAAATTGCTTTAGGCATCTAGTCAGTATTTACATAACTGCTGTCTCATTATCTTTATGACCCGTGGGGCTAGTAGCTTTTATGGAATTGAAGATGACATCTTGTGACAGTAATGGGGTAGAACTGTGATCCTTTTGTACAGTTAAATTCCATAGTCTTAACCATCAAGCCAGATGCCTATGTAATACAGGGAAGTGGCTTTGTGTGTTTATGTGTGTGTGTGGTAGAAGAGGGTAACTAAAATTTTTTACTAAAGGTCTTATTTTTTAAATAAGAATAGGGGAATATTGTCATCTGACTTAGACACTACTATATTTTATTATGATTTAATGACAGTTGCTTTTTGCCCTTTATTATAATGAAAAAGGTTCTAAACTCTTACTTTAATTTGAAGTAATACTTATCCAAAAGAAAGCCTATTTCATTAATTTCCATGAACAAGAATTTACCTTTAAAGTATGCCTTGCAAGTGTTATTTTTAGTTCTATTTTAGATATGTATGGTAATTATTTCTAGAAGGAAATAAAAACATTTTAAAGGATTTCAAATATGAAAAATAAATAATCTAATACAAATTAATAATGTTTTTCTAACTACAAATTAGGAGATATCTGTCTATGTAGGATATGTGTTTATATGTGCATGTGTGTGTTTATTTCCCAAAGCAGTTTCTAGAGCCTACTCCAAACTTGTCATAGAGAATATCCTTATGAGAAAGAATATATCTATGTTGTGATGCTCACCTGTTCTTCCAAGAAGAAAACAGATTTAACTTTGTTGATTCTCATATAGTAATTTTAGTAATTACAAAATTTATTGAGCACTAATATGTGACAGAAACTCACATAAAAGATCTACAGGTATCTGTTAAACTTTATATACTCTAGGAGGCCCTTTGATTTTCCCATTTTGGAGTGAGGGGACTCTCAACTCAGTAATTCATTTAAGGTCACACAGCAAGTAAAGGCCATAACCTGAACTCAACATCTGTCTACCTGCTTCAAAGCTCTTGCTTTAACAACTATAATGCATTGATTTTTTTTAGAATCTTAATAAGAAAATATTCTGTATTATAGTTTTATTCAGACCCTCTCTCATGTGACTGAATATAAGCAAAACTCTTATCTCTTCTATCTTTTAAAGATTTCTCTTACACACAAAGCCCAGAAAAGATCATTGTATGAGAAGCCAGCAAAAACTAAAACTGAAGGAAAAATTGTATTCTGTTAAGCAGAAATAATTAGGAAATTTTTGAGAAAAAAATCTATTTTTTCCAACTTTTATACATCAGTGCAATAGTAGTTTATACACTATTTTTTGCTAATGTTCATGGTTACGACAAAATTAATATAAGTATGATAATGCTTTACAATTATGTTTCTAATTAATTCAAGACAATCAAATACAAAACATCTCAAATGCCATTTGAATATAGAGCCATAAAAATCTGTGACTGTATGGAGATTTTCCAAAAATTTTTTCTGTCCCAAGAGAATTATTAAGGAAATACATAATTTCCTCACACATGATTCCTTTCATAAGACTCTTGAAGAATACTCAACCTTAGCTTAAAAGGAAAATAATAAAGACATAAGGAAATCTGTAAAAGAATACCTATGGAGATTAAAAGGTGATAAAACAGAACCTCAGTAGAACAAAGGACTCAAGTAAATACAAATATTAATATGAAAAAGCCACCAAGGAGCATTGAGTTGTTAAGAACATGAATTTTCAAATATATATTTTTTCAGATAAAATAAAACTAGTCCTGAAAACTATATCAAATTGGGTAAACTTTAAAAAGGAGAAATGTTTTCAGATTGCTTTTATATGAGCATATGTATATTCATTAATAACGTGTTTCTTCATTAGTTTCCTGATATAATTGGGTCAGTCTTTTATTTGTTTCTTTTTACAGACTAAATTATTAAAGGGTTTAAAAAATGCTAGGCATTTATCAGTTTTAATGGCATTTCTCTGGCCAAATTGAATAATGTAGACCACTTTATGTCTTGATGAATAATTATTAATTACTGGAGTTTCAAATACATTTAAAGAAAAAGTCTTGGCACAAATAAAAAATTAAGATATTTTGTTCTTGAGTGTGACAAAATCAGTTGTTTAATTAACAAGAATAATGTTAAGAATATCCTCAAATGTGCTTCTGAATTGTCATAAGATAGTTAATTTTTTAAAAAGACAGTATTATTTTGATATTCAAATGAATATTTAAGAAAAAAGTAGCTTCATTTTTTCATATTACCAAAGGATTATGTGCTAGTCTCATAAATTTTTGGAGATAGAGCCTTAAAGCATAGAAACATTAAAATTTAGAGACAGTCCTTAAAATTTCAAAAATAGGAATTTGTTTTTAAAATTTGTTGTACTACATTCCCTATCATCTTAAGCAGTGTGTTTATACCTAGGGAATTCCTCTTTGTCCTCATACTTTATAATTCTAGATTATTACTGTTGATTCTTTTTTTTATTACTGTCGATTCTTAATATTACCTTTCTTTTTGGGGTGCTAGCTTGGAGCAGCCTTGTCCCCTTTTGCGTGTGATTTCTTTGAAAGTGGTACAGAGAAAACCTCTATGTAGTTTAAGTTTTATTATATTTTATTAAACAGTGTTAGAGGTAGTATTTCAGAGGTGAAGGAATACTGAGCCATGAATTAAAATACCTAGATTCACATTCTTTCTTACTTGCTAGCCTTCTAAAGCCTTCTAAAACATCATCTCAGAACCCCATTCCTTTATTTGGCAATTTACTCATGATAATTAACATTTATGGTGTTAGGATGTATTAGGGCCCATACTAGACATTGTATAGTGAGTATCTTCCATTCTGGCAGTAATTCTAAATGGCAGTAACTATTAGGCTTATGTGACGAATGAAGAAGGTGAAGCTCAGCCAGGTTAAGTTCCTAGGTCCAGATCACATCATTCACAGATTGGGCATGAGCTCCACAGGTGCCTTAAACTTCAAAGACCTCTTCCTTATTAAATTGTGCTGCTTTGTGGCACTGCCTGCTTTGCCTATTTTACAGTTCAAAAATACAATTCAAATAATGTAATGTAGGTAAACACATTTTATGACCTGTGAAGAGCTAAATATGTACTTTTTTATACCTCTCAATTCTATAAGACCTAGCCTTTTTATAACTACTCTGAAGTTTTTTTAATAGGTATTTTTTTTGTGGTTCAGAGATTTGTTTTTCTGGATTGAGATATGTTCCAGAATGCTAAATTGTGATCGTATTGTTAGCATTTCTGCTTTCTTAAAATCGTTTTGGAAAAATAATTAAAATCCTCTACAGAATAACTGTAACATCTAAGTCTTAAATATGTGACTTCTACTCAACCATTTTTAATAAGGAAGTAAAAAAATGAATGAGTGGGAACTTTGAATAAAGAAGTAAATGAATTATTTGGATGATATACAGTTTACTTATTTTTTGTTAATAAAATCTGGAGAAATAAATTGATAGAATAACTTGGAACTTGCCATTATTTTACAAGGGAAATAAATATACCTTTAAAACTTTGGTTAGGCCAATACCACTTGAAGCCCTGTGCCTTTTAAGCAATCAGCTTTCTTTTACATATGTCATTTTAGGTAAATACATTTTTCTATAATAATTTGATGAAGTAAGAAAAAATATTATTTCTTTCTGGATTTCTCTCAAAAAAAGGCACAGTGGCATGCTGAGTAGTAAAAAGTTCTTTATCAGAAAGTTGTCTTTTGAAATTTCTTTTAAATTAGAGAGAGATTTTAAGTAGAAACATGAATCCAGAGCTGGATAACAGCTGCAAAGAAATTATTGGGCTGGAATCACCCTCCCTCTATTTTGTAACAATGGACTGATACTCTTTTTTAAAAATCTATTCTCTGTTTTATTTTATTTATATTATTTTAAATGAACATAATTGTGTAAAGAGGAGGAAAGCCTTTATAAAGTAACATAGGCATAAAATATAGAAAAATTGATTTTAAAAGCACAGGAATTTTGGATTCAAAAAAAGAGATTATATTTCCCCTTGGGAACAAATATTAAAATGAAAGAACGTAGATTAATGTTTTAGCTTGGTATATCAATGAAGAAAATATTCTCTGTTTTTAAAAGTGCTTAATTCCTGTGTTCCTGAGAATTAATTTATTAATTCTTACAAATGCTATTGCTTCTTTCACAACATTGGGATTAAAATTTGCCTACTAAAATGTTGAAAGTATGATTTCTGTGATTAATTTTGATTTATGGACTTACTTTTGATCAAATGTTCCTGGGAACTTGATATATTCCAGGGAATCCAAGGTCGTATCAACAGTGGATGCAGACAGTTAAGGTAACGCCGAGTCTTCAGTGTCTCTTCTTTCATAGTAATGATTATGGAGAAATATTCAGTAAAAGCATGCTGTTTATAGTTGTGATGTTTATTTGTAATATTCGAAATGAGCATATATAGTCTCACACTTTGAATACATGTATGTTGTGCTCATAGTCACGTTGCTAATCCTAAAGATAATTTTAATGGAAACTTTTGTTCAGAGATAAGTAGCTTGTTTTGAGAAGCAAGTATTCTTTGTTGCTTTATGTTCTATTATAGAACAAGGAGTTAGATGGATTAATAGGATTTGGTGGAAATTTTATAATTTCTGGTAACATAATTTTGTTAATGTGATTTTTAAAATATTAAACTCTTCCATAGTTTAAGACTTTATTGCCCAACACTCAAACCAGCTGATAAACACTGTATTTTTTTTTGTTATTCTTTAAATACATATGTACTGTGTCACTGTCCTTATTACTCATCTGCCTAAACTTTAAAGATGAAATGATTTAAAATGATGTGTTACACCAACTGAAAGAACAAAATGAAATGTTCCTATTTTGTTTGACATTATTATAGTACAGAAAAACTTTAAAAACATTCAACATGAAATAATTTTTAGAATTCTGTTTAAGTTCAGGGCAAGGTTCTTACTCTATGTTACTGATAATGCTTTGTTTTCAGGACAGTTTGTCAAAAAATTTTGAAAATATACTGTTTTTCTTTTGCAGAAAGGAGGTGCACTATTCAACACAGCAATGACCAAAGCAACTCCTGCTGTACGGACAGCATATAAATTTGTAAGTTTTATTTTGATAAAAATTCTATTGATTAAACTATGTATTACTCTGGAAAATACACATGTAAATTCAAAATATTTTCTATTTTTAAAAATGTTTAGAGTTAATATTAACCAAAGGCAATTCATTTGTTAACATTATGTCATTGAATAGAAAGAGTATTTCCTATATAAAATCTAAAAATGGTTCTTCATTTTATTTCAAAGCTACCAAAAAATTGCATGTCAAATTGAAATAGTCCATGATCAGGTACCCTTTTGTAAATCCGATTCTTTCCTAAAACAACATATTTTAAATTTTCATCATATATTTGAGACTAAAGTGGAAAAAAATTAGCAAATATAGCAAAATTTATTTCCTCAAAGATGCATTGACTCTCCAGAATTAAAATTTTTTAGTGATTTGCCATAGTTTATATTATATTAATAACAATAACATTAAACAAGCAATGAAATAAAAATCTTTTATATGACAACTAAGACCCTTCAAGGTCTGTTCATTCCTCTGTCCTATTCCATCTCACCCTGGTCCCCTGAAGCTTACATATCTCCGAAGATACCCACTATGCCTTATTTCTTTAATGCAAGATACCCTCTTCTGTCTTCTTATTCTTGCTCAAGTTGTTCCTCTACTTGGAACACCCAGTTTTTGCTCAGTATCCACCTAGTAAACACCAGCTTATCCTATAAGACAGTTCAAGCATTGGTTTCCTCTTCAAAAAGTTTTCCCAGAGCCAGGGATTTAGCTCAGTGGTTGTGCTGCCTGCTGTGCAAGCGCAAGGACTGGAGTTCGATCCCCAGTACAAAAAAAAAAAATTTTCCCAACCTCACTAAAAAAAAAAATTTACATAGCTTTTTCTGTGTTCCCACAGGAACTTTAAGAACTTGTTTAGTACTTGCTTTGTTTGTGTATGTTTTTATCTTTAGTACTAGACTGGTAGCTCCTTGTGGGAGAAGCCTTGGATGATATTCATTAAAATTTTTTTTAATTCAGTAGGTTATATATAATCTGTTTTTATAAAAATATCTAGGCCAGTCCTTGTGATTTTATGAGAATTTATCTTCAGATATTTTTAGCAAATAAGTTGATGTGATTGAGTTATAAAATATTTTAATAAATATTTAGAACTTTTGTTTTTCCCTTGACTTAAAATGATGATATACATGCAGTCACTCTTTTTTGTTCAACAATTCTATTTCAAAGATACCTTTTATAGTAGAGAAGATAATCTACAGAGTTAATTCAAAAACACAGTACCAACATTATGAATTATTAGAAGCTTTATCATCAAGCAAAATTAAGAAATAATTATTTTGCCTTAAAAACATCAGCCTCTGATGTTTGTTTGATTTTCCCATGACTTTGCTAAAAAATCTCTCTAAATAGCTAGCTATCTCTAGCTAGCTATCTTTAGTAGAGCTATCTCTAATAGGTACAGACTTTGGAGAGATATTTTTTCAAAATGAAATAGCACACAGGTACCAAATGAAAAACTCAACTAATGTTGAGCCTTATTTCTCATACACACAAAAATTAAGTTTCTAAAAAAGTCTTAGCAGTCAGTCGGCCCTCATTTTATTCCTGGAGCAAGGACTTGAATTTTTGCAAGCTTAGACAAATGTTGTTATGCAAAATCTGTGTTTTTCCTCTTAATTTTACTCATATGTTTCAAAAAAGTACAATACATAAAGCAAGCTTATTTAAAGCCTCATTCATTATTTATAATTTTTAACCCTGTAAGAAGAATGTTCTATTTTGAAACCTTCTCTGCAAGGCAGTAAAATCTTTCCAAATTAAAAATTTTGCCTTTTGGAGGATTATTCCTTAATTTTATTTCAGACAAATGAAGATCTTAACTCCTTATATCATTTCTCTTGTGATTGCATCAGACTTGAATCAAGAGGTTGCAGGAAGGAAACTTAAGTCATTTTGTGACCTTCATAATTTTACCTAAAACTTATGTTCCACACTGCTCATGTTCAAAATCTGTAAGCTGAAATTCCCTTTTTGACCACAAATTGCAATGAACAAAACTTCCCATTTCTGTTATGTGTGTATAACAGACTTTATTTACCTTCATTTTTTGTAAATGGTAAATTTTTCAAAAGTGAAGGCCATGTGCTTATCTCTATTTCATTTATTTAACAAATTGAGTATCTGTCATGAAGTAGGCCTTTTGCTCATATCAGAGTTAGAGTATTTGTAAGGTAAGAGAGACTCTATCCCAGCATTTATATTTATATCTTCATTGTTTTGCTGTATGCTTTGCACATACCTCAGAAGTACTAAATATGTATTTGTTGAAGTGAATCATAATCTTGTTCTGTACGTACAGCATTTCTTGATACTTATTTCTATGCTTAGAAATTGTTTTCTATGCTTTATATGCTTATGTTTTTACATGCTTACCAGGGCCATAAAGAAAAGCAGAGGTGATAAACATTCGCTCATAAATCTAAGAATCACAGCAAAGCGAAATGCACATTTGATTTGCCTAAGATATTTTCCTAGTCATCTTTTTGTTAGGCCCTTGGTCAAAGCCACTTACTTGATGGATCTCTATGGAGAATATTTGTCATATATTGTGATATATTTCAGCTTGGTAAAATGAAAAGAATGGAAAGAACCTGTACTCCATCTTCCAGGTAATATGAAAAAGATCCAAGAAGGAGATAGGCCAGTAGGCATTTAAATTAATTATCACACACAGCAGAACCACGGACAAGCCAATGCTAGATTCAGCTTTATTCACTAAGGAACATCTGAAAACACTGGTTGATTGAATGCATGAGAGGATATTTGAGTAAACCAGAATATGCTCCAAATGTGAGCAAACCATGTGTGGGTACAAATTTTAGGAGGAAGCAGAAGCATTTTTCTTGGTAATTGTGGATTTTTTACCTAATGGAAATTAGAGATTAATATAAGACTTATTTTTTCAGTGGCTTTTCATTTAAAATAATGAATGTGAGTGCTTTATTTATAAAATTCTGAAAAACCATAGGCTAGAATTTGGTGTTGTTTGTTTACATTATCTTTTAATAAGTGTAATATTTTAGTTTTGCTTCAGTTGTAATAAAGAAATAATTTTTTTATTCAGTTCAAGACATTCCTTGAGCAGCTTCTATATATAGTACTACTGGGTACTACAGATATTAGTGAGAGAGAAATAAAGGACCTGTGAAAGTCACATGTTTACTCTTCTCGGAGCATCTTGGTAAAGTGGGTGGCTTAGTCTGAGCAAGGCTTGTAGAGTCTGCCGTCATCTGCCGTTTCTGGGTCTGTAGAGTGGAGCTCATAATGCCTTTTTTTTGATCAGGCTGAAATTCAGTAGATATGTTTTTTAAAAGTTCTTTCCTCCTTCCTCTTTAAGAAGGGAAGAAGTTGGACTTTATAATTGAATAGACTTAGCTTTGAATCTAAGCCATATAGATTTACTCCCTGAGCCACATTGCTTATTTGTAAAATATGGTAATAATAGTACTCATCTCAGAGTAGTCCTGATGACTAAAAGAGATAATGCGTGCTAAGCATCCAGCACAGTTTTATGTTTAGGAAACACAAAATAAACATGAATTCCCTTTTCTACTCTGGCCACTGTGAGTGGAAATTTCAAGTGGCACAAAGTCTGAGGCCTTTATGAAGCCCCAGTTTTCTTAAGTTGTACTTCATAGGATGCACAGCAGGGTTTGAGCCACTCAGACGCTGGTGCCAAATTCCAGCGAAATATGAGGATAGCATTTAAATTGTTAAATTACTTTTACTTTTTCCCAGAAAATCTATTTACAAAATAGCCATATTAAGATAGTTTTGCTAATAAAAATCTGTGTGTGCCTATAAATAAATAATAAATAAATTTGTATAGTTGCCCAGATTTCTTCAAATTGAAATATTTGCCCAAATTGAAATATTTGGCGCTATGATGTGATTTCTCTTTGCCCCTAATTTGTTATAATTTCAAGACTGAACATTAGCAATCTGTTTGATTCCCCTTTGTGTTCTTTATACTTTAGGAATCAAAATATGCTAAATATTAGCCTTAGTATATTTATATATAAACAGAGGCTAATCATGTTTTTAACCAATTTATCTAGATATAATAAAAGGTAAATGGATGATATTCCTGAAAAGTTTTGATAATCTTCTTTGCTAAATAATATGAATAGCAGTTTTCATTGAATATAGTTTTGTGTACCTATTTTATAAATGGTAACAGAACCATTCTAAACCAGACACATTTATTATTGTTTTCCAGGCAAAAAATCATGCAAAGCTGGGATTAAAGGAAGTGAAGAGTAAGCTAAAACATAAGGTATATCATATTCTTTTTATTCTACCTGGATTCTTATATTAATTTGAAGCTTATTCTTTATAGACCACATGACATTTATTTTTTAGTGACTTTTGAAATATGCTTACCCCTTTGTTCAAGAATGTATTTTCCATAACAAGCCCTCTGGCAACTATCTGCATTCTATATGCATCCCCTGAATAATCTCTTTATTGTTTGCATATTTTAACAAAGAACTGTAGAAATCTTTAAAGATACTTTAACAAGATGTATGTTTTCATAAAGTTGATTGCCCTGATATCACAATTGAAGCTCTTGCTTCAAGCTGAAAATTTTTTTATGAAGATATCTTTGGCATAGAATTAATCTAGTAATGCCATCATTTTTTTGTTTGTTTATTTTTGGGTTTTTTTGGTACTGGGGATCGAACTCGGGTTCTTGTGCTTGTACAGCAGGCGGCGAAACCACTGAGCTAAATCTCCGGTCCCATCATTTGGTTTTATAGGCTCTTTCCAACAAATTGAAGAATTTTGTTAACGTACAAAATATTTTATATGAGGATTTATATTTGGATCTATGACTATTATAAGTATATGAATATTTATGTGTACATATGTCTGTTTGGTTTGATTACCTTTGCAGATTTTATTGCAGATGTTATGTTTTGAATTTTACCTTTGAAGAAAAGATGCTACATACAGCTTCCAGTGATACTAATGGAGAATACATTATCTTAGAACAAATTTTATTTAAATTAACCAAAATAACCAAGATTATTTTGGAAATTATTGACTCATAGTTTAGAAAAATGCAGTTTCTCCCTAAATCTATTCTTAAACTTATAATATCTAAAGTTCTATTTTGTTACTTACATGTATATCAGATGCTATTAATCAAATAACTTTAGGAATAGCAGGAATATTGTAAAATAATCATTTGTATATTTTTTCATGTATAGGAAAATGAGGAAGATTGTGGGCCCTGTTCTGGTGCAGTACAACATACACCGGTTTACACATTACACAGTGAAAGGGGAGAGAACCTAGAAAAGCATAAACTTGCCCAGGTAAAGATGTTTATCCTTTCTGTCTCCTCATTCTGCAGTTATATAATTTAACTGAATTCTTTAGGAACAATTTGGATCCATTACTTATATCTTATGGTAAAAACCCCCCAGCTGTATTGGTCAAGGAGAAGAGTAGGTGGACTCTGGCCAGTGATCCACACCATATGTCCGGATACAACAGCCTCTGCCTATAGGTTAAGCTTCCCAAATCTGAAAATTCAAAACCCAAAACTTTCTGAGTGTCAACATGATGCCACAAGTGGAAAATTGTACACTTAACTTTGTGTGTCTGATTGCATTCAAAATACACACTATAGTATGTATAAAAATGTCAAGTAAAATTACCTTCAGACTATGTGTATAAGGTGTATATAAAACATGAATGAATTTTATGTTTAGACTTGAGTCCCCTCCTCTCTCTCTCCATATATATCTGTCTATATAGATATAGATATATCTTCTAAAGATATAAATATGAATATTTAAGATTGATCGATCTATCTGTCTGTCTATCTATCATCTATCTATCTATCTTCTAAAAATCCAAACTCTGAAACATTTCTGTTCTCAAGTTTTTCAGATAAGGAGTATTCAGCCTTTATTTTATCATGGAGCTTATAATCCACTAAGGAAGACAGACAATTAAATATGTAGTTGTCATAGAATATGAATAGTTTGGTGATAAGTACGAAACCATAGATTTAACTCGAAAAATAAAATGAAATTCATACATGGACATTTGATCATTGAAACAGTCTATAGACGTTAGATAACCAGCTACCATGCAACTTACAATGGGGGTTATACCCTCATAAATCCATTGCAAACTTTTTCAGCTGAAAATATCATAATTGCAAATACATTTAGTACACCTAACTCACTTAAGGACATAGCTTAGCAGCGCAGTATACTGTAGAGTTATTGACCCCGCGATTGCATGACTGGGAGCTGCGGCTCACCCCCTCTACCCAGTAGCAAGAGAGGTTTTCACCAAGAAAATTTGTGTAGACCAAATCACATTGTAAGTGCTCTTAGAAAATGGACTTTAACCACTTAACAGTTTACCCTGAGTGTCACTCAGGGAGTGCGTTTTTGTACTGACTATACTGAGCCTCACTCGGGCAGGTGTCATTTCAACCAGTCCAATTCTTGTATTGAATAAATTTGATAAAATTTTTATTTTCATATTTCCTGTTATATTATAAAAACGAAAAATATGCAATTTTTGGTCATCTTGTATTTAAATAATTGGACTGGTAAGTGGTTAAAAATAATTCTTGAATGGATATAGAGATGAAAAAATTATAAAACTGGGAGTGGTGGTAAAACTTACTTATTACTAAGAGGTTTACAGGTGAGAAAACTGATAGCCGGAATGGTTGCATCTCTTGCCTCGTGTCGTGGTCAGTGCCAGAGTGCTTTCTGAGATAGCCAGCTACTGCAGGGTGTCAGTGTCCATGAAGTGTTTCAGCGCGTCTTCCTCTTGTTCTCCTTTGTGGTGATATGACAGTTGGCCTGAGACCAGGTAGTTTATAAAGAACATAAATCTATGGAATCAGGGAAGTCCAAGGTAAAGGCATTGCATTTGGAAAAAACCTTCATGCTGTATCATCACATGGCGGGCGGGGGCAAGACAACAAGAGGGAGTGGACTGGCCCTTTCATAATTTGGCAGTACAACTCATCAGGTGGGGCCCTTGAGGTCTAGCCAGTCCTGAAGGTCCGTAGTTACACCGTCTGTCCCATTGTTAACACTAAGGTTTGGAGGGGACACATCCTTCAACTAGCAGTCTTGAGTATGGGAAAGAGCCAATAAAGCTGTACTAAAACTCTAGGCCTTTGTAAGAAAACCCACTCATCTGATAGTTCAGTACCTACTATGTGAGAAGCACCTTCTAGTTAGCAGTTATACAGAAGGAAAACAAAATTTCTCCACCCTCACGGAACTACTTTTGTAATTACTTTCTCTGATTTTTCCATTTATTAAACTGATATTTCCATAGGTTAGAATTGCTTAATCATAGCATATTGTTAGTGAATGCTGATTATATGACCTAAAATAACCCCTTTGATGGAGTAATTATTCTACACATGTAGAAAGCTTTGCTGCCACTGGCATTAACTGGAGAACATTTATTAACTTGTAAACTAATGATAGATTTGCTGTTGATTTTGCTAGTTTATCTCTTGTCATCAGTTTGATGAATTCTCTGTTTTCAAGCCTTAATATCTTCAAAATTTTGTAAACTGTTTACTGATTTAATAATGGAGTATGATCTATTTGCCATGGTGAACAGATTTTTACATGAAAAAATGAGATTTTATGTACCTATTTGATGCTTTCAGATAAAAACAAAACATTCGACAAAAATTGAAATTATTTCCTTAAATGTCAGTTTTGAGTTAAGAGAACTATTTTCAGCTCCTCATATTGTGTAATTTCTAAATATTCCTTTCCTTTAATACGACATAAAATTTCTATTATAGTTTAGTTATAAAATAAATTACTGATTTCTGGTTTTGTTTTCTGTTATTCCTGGAGACAGCCTTTATTGTATACAGTTAGGGAGCACAGCGTGTTTTGATATATTTGATAAAATACTTTTTACACGTGGGCAAGTTAGCACGCCCATCACCTTCAAAGTCCCTTGTGTCAGTGGTAAGATCACCCAATGCTGCTCTCTCAGCAAATTTCCAACATATCATCAGCTGTGATCCTCACACAGTGCATCCATACTGAAAAAATTGTATTAAGTTGCAGAAAAATTGCAAGATAAAAAGTCATAGTCGTTGCATACTTATACTGAATCCTCAGGTCTGTTATTTATTGTAGTAGCATTATTTGCATTTATTAGCATTTTACGATTTTTCAAGTGAACATGACACCAATGATGATTATAACAAAAGTTAAGAGAAATAACGTTCTTTTAAGAATTTTAATGTGATTTACCTACTCAGTATAAAGGAAAACTTGTTGAACTAACATTTAGAATTATAATGCAGATGTTGGTAATGTCTTCATAAAAACTTTTTTATATGATAAGTATCTCATTTTCAGGAAATGTGTATACTCAGTGTATATACCAGTATATATAATGTTCATATGTGTACTGATGTGTATATGTTTTAACAGCTACATATTTTAAGAGTTCCTATCTCTAATCACTTGTGACCTAATATTTAATATAGTTCAATTCTTCCTTGTATCTTTTCTATAATTGAAATTTGATTCATTCTTTAGTTTCAAATTCATAAATATACTTATGAAAGAGTTACATTTTTGCCTCTCTGGCAATTCTTTTCTTGCTACTTTCCAACCTTAGCTTTTTTCCCCAAGGCTCCCTGAAACCAATACTAATTTTACTTCTTTGAATTGGTTGGTTTGTGCTCTGAAAGGGTACCCTATTTATGGACCATGGCTTACTTTATAAAAATAGGATATGATACATTCAAATTAAATTTGTTACTTTATCCTTAATTTGAATTATGTAATTTCATAGTGTTTGTAAACTCACACAAATGAAATAAGACAATGTCAGGACATTTATTATAAGGATTCAAGTATTCTTAGGCCAACTAAGTGCAGGAATATATGCATTCCTCTGGTAGGACTGAAACTCAATGGAAAATGTGTCAGGGCAGAATGTCACCTTTCTCTCCCATGTGTCCTTTTATTCTTTCTTCTTCCTTCTCGCTCCCCACTCTTTCCACCTCCCTCTTCACTATCTGGTCTGCTCTGTCTCTTTGTCCATTGTGCATTCTGTAGATTAGCTGTTTTGCTTGTCTGCTCCTAGCATACATCTTACAGGTGTCGGTTGAAGCAGGCGTTAGAAACGGACAGAAATTCCAGAATCCAATTTATTGTGGAAGAATGTAATCAGCTTACTTGGGCCAGGCATTAGTCCTTGTTTCAATAAACTCTGAGCCAGAGAGGTAGGGATCCTGTTTCTAAGGACACTGGGAGGAAAAGAGGGGAAAGTGATTCTATCTCATAAGATGTCTACTATTTTTAATGGCTTTATAATATGGTTTGCCAAATAGTTGTCTCAGAAATGAAAGAGATAAAGAAAATCTGTATTTTTAAGTTCCTAGAGGTTAGATCTTTGTACCACAAATCTAAACCTTGGTAAATTTCATGTTAGCCTACCCTACTGGGTTGCCATTGCCTTAGTTCTCACAAGAGAGTTGAGCCACTTCTACAACAACCAAAAAAAGGCTACCCGTGGAAGTAAACTTAGAATATCCTATTTGCATGTTTCACAAGGAAATCTGGAAAGATCACTCATAGTTTACTGCCTTTCCTTTGTAGCCTCATTGCAGTAGCCTAATTGGTTTTCTTGGAGATAATACAATCCTATTCATTTAATCAAAATATGAACCAATATGTTATTGAAGAGACAGAAAAAAATGCTAGAGCCATGAACACATTGTTTAATGATTTCTAAATCTGAGTTCTATTACCCCTTACTCTCCACTCATAATAATACAATTCCAGAATATTAAGATTTTCAACTAAATATGTAAGTTTTTCTAGGAAAAGTTAGATGTGGCTAAAGGCAGAATCTAGAGATGACATGTACTTCAGAGACACTTACATTTACTTAGTCACTTATATTACACCTTTCCCCAAGATAATTTAACATTTACAAGGAATCATAGGATAAAACCTCAAAATATAAATAAAATATATTTGAGTAGATAAGACTTAAGGCAGAGAGAAAGTTAAGCTTAATAAGAAGCTCTTAATAGTCATTTTCTTGTTCAGTAGCAAAAAATGAGGGGAAAGCACAGCTACGTTGATTTATAAGGCACAATTTGGTTTTTAAAGTTACTCGGGAATTGCACAGTCACTCTAGGAAACAGGGAGGACATTGCAGATCCACAGATAGACTCATTGTCCCAAGAGTTTGTATTGTGGTGGAGGTACCCACTAGGGCAGCGGTGGTGAACCCATGGCATATGTGCCACAGCGGGCATGCAGAGCCCGCTCTGGTGCCACGC